AGTAACCCAGTATAATTTTATTTATTGTTATATTCATTACATAACGTTGAAGTTATGATATTGACCTTGTGGTTTTAGATGTAACTAAACTGAGTGTGCCTGTACAATGGCAAATAGTGTACGTACAGTATTAAATGGACTACAAATAGTAATGATAAATTAGTTATTGAAATAATTATATTATTCAAATAAACGTGTATGAATGTTAAGTTGTTTTTTATTTGCTGTATTATGAATGTCGTAAAATTTTAATATTAAAAAACCGAGTCCATAATGTTTATTATTACTAATACTAATAATACTAATAATTTTTTAGCGATATAAACGCTTTGAATAATAAAGAATTATATTCAATGAAAATGAATTCAAAAAAATAAAAATAAATTGTTTGCCCAATATTAATGGTCGAGACATTTGTAATAATTTGTTAATTATGATGTTATTGAAAAGCTACAGTTTATTGAAATAGTAAATGTTAATTATGAAATAATAATTTACTTATTTATGACAATGTTATTCATTAAATAGGTTATAAACAGTAGTTTAGCCATTTGTACAATTAATGTATTATACATTATATTAGCAAAAAACCAAAAGAATATTTTATTTAGCTATAAAACATTATTCATTGTACAAATTTGTTATCAAATATTAAGGACTTATTTTACTAAACATACAGTAAAATAGATTTAATTTTATTAAATTAATACATGTTTTGCAAATTGAATTTACATTAACATGAATAACATCAATGTGAACAGGGTTATACCCACTGAATTGATAACCCTATCAGCGAGCAATCAATTGTGTAGAATTGGCTTATTGTACACTCGTAGCCAATATGAGCAAGGTGCAACCAGATCACAGATTTATCATCCAAAACTTATCAACTCTATTTTGGGGATATATTTAACACAAGTAGTACTGGTCACATTTATAGTACCAAACGAATATCGCCTTATCAAGATTATGTTTGGTGATTTTGCTTATCAACAGGGCATTCCTAAACACACAAACATTTTTGTTATTAATTTCGTTACATTGAACATATTATTTCGTGCCCTTTATTACTATAACCATAAGCGGGGTATAAAACCTACATTTCTATCGCTGTTTGATATGTTTGCCGGTTATATGACTCCCAAACAGATTGGACTCACGGATAGGCATCAAGTTTGGGATTTATGTCGCAAATCACGGCTTTTGTTCAAAATTGTCAGACAATTGCAAATTTACGGAGTGTTTATATATATATAATATACACGCTACAATCATACTATATAAGTTGTTCACTTGTGGAAATCATTTTGTTCGGAATTCCGCAAACTATTCTGGTCACATTTATGGACAATTACTGTGCGCCACAGATACTGTATCTATTTATTCACTTTTATCTCATTTGTCGCTATTTTCGACACAAATTGCAGGCAATCAATGAAATCCTCAAAACACGAGTGGAAACGGATTCCCGATTTAATACACTATTCATTCGGCAAACAATTCAATCGCTTAATGATATTATACTTGAGATCAATGATTATAACACCACTTATTGGTGTCAATACATTGCGATTATGTGGATATTGTTGAGCATTAGTGGCATTACTATAGCCTATATCTTATTGTTTACAAACATACCATTCATTATACGACTGATTGTAGTCTATGCGGCTGGCGTCATATTACTGTCCCTCATAGTTGTGGGCCTAATATCGGCCGCCGTTAACAAGAAGACAGACGTAACGTATAAACTGTTGAATACATATATCGCAAGACATATACCGCGAAGTATGGCATATAATAGACGAGTCCTAAATAGGTTGCTATTGATTGGAATTATAAAAGATTTATCTGGATGAATAATGTTAAATGGTGTTCTGGCTCAATTGGCCATGAAGTACATTAATTTACAATTAATGAAAATCTATTGATTAATACAAAAACTGACCGCAGATTTAATATGTTTTTATTTAGCTCTAAGAGTTACTTAATAATGTTAAATGATTTTGGAAAATGGTACTGGTTCAACGGGTCAACAAATAAATTAATTTACTTTATTGTTATAATTGCGGACTTTGTCTACCAGTAACCCAGTATAATTTTATTTATTGTTATATTCATTACATAACGTTGAAGTTATGATATTGACCTTGTGGTTTTAGATGTAACTAAACTGAGTGTGCCTGTACAATGGCAAATACTGTATGCACAGTATTAAATGGACTACAAATAGTAATGATAAATTAGTTATTGATAATAATTATATTACTCAATTAAACGTGTATGAATTTAATTGACAAATGTGAATAATAAAACCACATATATTTCTGGTTATTTCCCTTTTGACTAGATGAAAATGTCATTTGTAGTTTTTAAGTAATCGCAATTTCAAAAGCTGCGGTATTCGCCGAACACCCGGTATATTACCTGTAATAGGTATTAAATTATATAAGGTATATAATTTCATAATGTATTAAATTAAATATTAATAAAAGTGTTGCCAATTGAGTTTATTTAAAATTAGTTAATTAAATTTAAAAAACATTTAAATTAAATATCTCATTAGTAATTTATTTTACAATAAACATATTTATAATTAATTTTAAAACCACTAATGGACGAGGGTGCTAAAATAAAGGGCAAGTCCCGGTGGGATGATACGAATATTTTTCAAAAAATGTTTTTAACGTAAGTGTTAAATTTCCTTGATCTTATTTAAGTTAAAAAACAAATTATATAAAAAAGCATTATAAAATTTATTTAAAGTAGTCACACACTTCTAAGTTTATAAAATTTTAAGTTTTTAGTAATAGAAAATGAATATGTTTTAAAATGTGCTAGTTAATTATAATACATAAATTAAATTGTATAGGTTAATACTAATTTAATCTAATTTGTATTATGAAAATTATAATTTAAAAATTAATTAACTACTGTAGTTATAATACAATAAGATTTTCTGATTATTTATTATTTCAAACATTTGTGACAATTATGATCAAACAGATGGGTATTCCCGGTGTTTATGACGGGTTGGCGTAAGAATGGTCTCGATGTGGACGACCTGTTCCGGTGCTCCCGACACGACGAGTCGCAACGTATTGTCCGGGAGCTGGAAAGGTATGT